TTTCATTACTTTTTAATTTATCCATCCATCAACCATTTTTGACAATGATTACATTTATTCATTAGTGGCAAAATTATGCTGTTACTAATTATTAATAATATCTAGTTTCCATAGCCTTTGTGATTTCATCCCACAAATGAATTTTTTTTTTTAAGATTTTATTTATTTATTTGAGAGAGAGAGAGCACAAGATGGGGTAGGGCCAGAGGGAGAAGCAGACTTCCTGCTGAGCAGGGAGCCCGATGTAGGACTCGATCCTGGGACTCCAGGATCATGACCAGACCCCAAGGCAGACATTTAACCAACTGAGCCACTCAGGCACCCCCACAAATAAATTTTCAGTTGTTTTCTTCCTTTGGTTTGTATACCTGTTATATTTCCACACCATATCAATACCACTACAAAAATAACTGAATCCTCTCCCTATATTTTTATAACTATAAATTTGAAAATAGTAATTTACTAATTACTAATAGTAATTAGTAAAATAGTAAAAATTAACAGTGGTGGATCCAACATTCTTCTCCGTTTCCAATCACACGTTACCTACAACAGACACTTGGGAAAAGGATTAAGGCATAGCAGATTTTCTAAGAAAGCAGATACAGAGAAAACAGAATCCTTCCTTAAAAATTTACTGAAAAATTGTATTTAAAAATTTCTATTGCAGTTACAATAACAACCCCAAAAACAACATGTCTTCGATTTTTAGCAACCTAAAAGGATTTTAAGAAATATCAAAAACTGACAAAAGTTAAATATATTCTGTCCATGCCAGGGTAGTCCAGCTTTGCCCACCAGGAACACTGCTATAATTTGTTGATGATTTCCAGTTCTGAAAAGGTTCCAGAGGCAGCCTTTTAACCTGCACTATTGGCTAACATCACCGATGTCTCTCCAGGCAGTAGATTAGGTGCGTAGCCCAGAATTATTCTATCCAACCCAAAGAGTTGTAAAAATGTCAGGATTTTCACACGGCCACAATACATTTATTGTTTACTCTTGCCCTTTATGAAATTGGACATGGTAACTGCTGGCACATACAGGCAATAGCCCTGCATTTCAGATAGGCAATAATAATTATTTATCAGTATGTATCAACTCACAGAGGGCTGCCAGACTAGGGGAAAAAATAAAAATCTACCAGATGTCAGTAAAGGCAAATGCTGTAAGATGAGGATATGCCCTGCAGAAGTACCTTCAGAGAAAACTTGAGATATTTCCACTCCTACACAGAAGCATCACAATTGAGATCAGACTTACAACTCATTCAGACCAACCTGATTATTATGACTGTGTTCCAAAATTCAGGAAAAAATCAATATTATTTCCGGGCGCCTGGGTGGCTCAGTTGGTTAAGCGACTGCCTTCGGCTCAGGTCATGATCCTGGAGTCCCTGGATCGAGTCCCGCATCGGGCTCCCTGCTCAGCGGGGAGCCTGCTTCTCCCTCTGACCCTCCCCCCTCTCATGTACTCGCTCTCTCTCATTCTCTCTCTCTCAAATAAATAAATAAATCTTTAAAAAAAAAATTAATATTATTTCCTACTTTCCCCTTCTTTAGGGGTCCCAAATGCTAACCTCATCTAAGAAGTAAAAATGTCTAAATACCAATAAAGGATTGTTTCAATTCCCATTTTTAAACCCCTCTTAAAAAAATTTTTTTTTTAAGTTTTTAAAAAGAAAAAGAAAAGGGGTGCCTGGGTGGCTCAGTCGTTAAGTGTCTGCCTTCAGCTTACATCATGATCCCAGGGTCCTGGGATCGAGTTCCTCATTGGGTTCCTTGCTCAGCGGGAAGCCTGCTTCTCCCTCTCCCACTCCCCCTGCTTGTGTTCCCTCTCTCGCTGTCTCTCTCTATCAAATAAATAAATAAATAAAATCTTTTAAAAAAAAAGAAAAAGAAACAAAGGCCCAAATAAGAACAGCATATTAGGGACACCTGGGTGGCTCAGTCATTAAGCATCTGTCTTCAGCTCAGGTCATGATCTCAGGGTCCTGGGATTGAGACCCGCATCGGGCTCCCTGCTCAGTGGGGAGTCTGCTTCTCCCTCTGCCTGCCACTCCCCCTGCTTTGCGCTCTCTCTCTCTCTGACAAATAAATAAAAATCTTAAAAAATAATAATAAAAAAGAACAGCATAAAAAAACACAGTATTGAACAGAAGTACCCAATAGGAATGCTATTTGTAGAGGCAGTAGAGAGAAATGTTGAGCTGTCGCTCTCTGGAGCCAGCAGGCTGGCAGTAGCTTACTACCTGTATAACCCTGAGCAAATTTTTTAAAACTGTGCCGCACTTTCCTCTTCTGTATCATGGGAATAATGACAGTAACAATCTCAGGTTTGTTGAAGATTAAATGAGCTACCTAATGTAAAGCAGTTAATATTTGACTACTGTTTACCACACAGTTGGATAAAAATCCAAAGTGTTAATAACACTTTTTTAATGAGGCTGTTGGAACACAAGAAGTCTGATACTTTGCTTAATACTCAGCCTTATGAAGGGCAATTTGTAAATCCCACCGTTGAGAATTTATCTCACTGATATTTTTGCACAGGTGTAAAAAGACAGGTATAGGGGCATCTGGGTGGCTCAGTTGTTAAGCATCTGCCTTCAGCTCAGGTCCTGGGATGTAGCCCCACGTTGGGAATCCCTGCTCAGCAGGGAGTCTGCTTCTCCCTCTCCCTCTGTCCCTGCCCCTCCTCGTGCTCTCTCTTGCTCACCCTCTCTCAAATAAATAAATAAAATCTAAAAAAAAAAAAACAAACAGGTATACAAGGTTTTTTATTTCATACTGGAAACCCAAATGTCAAATATCAAAAATGACAATAAATAAAGAGTGGCGGGGCACCTGGGTGGCTCAGTCGGTTAAACGTCTGACTCTTGATTTCAGCTTAGGTCATGATCTCAGGGTCATGAGCTAGAGCCCCACAATGGGCTCTGTGCTGGGTATGGAGCCTGCTTAACATGCTCGCTCTCTCTCTCTCTCTCTCTGTGTCTGCCCCTTCCCCGGCTCATGCGCACTCTTTCTTAAAAAGCCAAAACAAAACCAAAAAAAATTAAAAAAGAGTGGCAAATTCATGACATGAACACTATACAGCAGTGTTTTTTGGGTTTTTCTTAGAGTAGGGTGAGTACACTGATTTACTGACGGAAAGACCTCTTGGTAAGTGCTTGGTAAGTGAAAAATGCAAGATGTTATGTTACCTTTTGCATGAAAAGAAACTGAATAATCAAAAAACATATTCATCCTTGTTTGTTTTTGCACTAAGAGAAAATAGTAATGGTGAGAAGGAACTCGGCAGATAAAAGGCAGGATGGGAGGGAAACTTCAAACTGTGCATCTTTTTATTTTTTCTCTTGCGCTTTTTTAGCTACATGAACATTTTACCTACTCAAATATTAATTTTTTAAAGTATTTTTTAAGTGTAAGGAATACACTTTGCTTCTCAAACATTGGCTGCAATTACTACTACCGTTGTTTTTGTTAGTAGTAGTAGTGATAGTAGTTACAAGCTCAAAATACCTCCTTTCTGAAGGCTTTTTCATACTCCCTCTGCACAGAAGCCTCCTCTAACTCCCACTATTTAAAGAATTTATCATTTTCTACTCTAGTGTAAGCCGCTTAGGTTGGTCAATGTCTTGTTCATTTTTAATATCCTAGGTGCCTTGCTTGCACCTGGTAGATACATTCTGTAGTAACAGTAACCTACAAGTACTCCAAAGAAGAAAATAGTGACCCTTTCTAAAAGAAGTATGCTCTATCATTAATTATAAGACCGGAAAATTTCAGAACTTGAATAACTGGATTTGCTAACATTCTTTCAACTACTGCCCAGCCAAAATGTCCTCTCTTTCACCAAGTTCCCCCCCCCCCCAGGGCTTCTCCAGACATTGATAACATGTCCCAAGCCAAGACACTACATGTACCAACTCCTTAACTCACTGCAATCTCTGAAATGCCTTTTATCCTAAGTCCCAACACCCTGGTACACTGCTCCTATCGAAAAAGCATTTGTTGGGCGCCTGTGTGGCTCAGTCGTTAAGCGTCTGCCTTCGGCTCAGGTCATGTTCGGCGGGAAGCCTGCTTCTCCCTCTCCCATTCCCCCTGCTTGTGTTCTTGCTCTTGCTATCTCTCTCTCTGTCAAATAAGTAAGTAAAATCTTAAAAAAAAAAAAAAAAGAAAGAAAAGAAGAAGCATTTGTTGACTGTCTCCTTTTAGATAGAGGTTCACATATTAGCGAATAAAGTGCCCTTTTAACTGAAGACCTAATACTTGATTCCTAATTCGCTCAGTGTTTTGTTTGTTCTTCTGGTATGTAGGGTGTTCTATAACCGACTGTTCAGTAGCCCAATTCTAGATGTCATTCTGGCACACCAAATACTCCACTGACAGCTCAACAGTCACTTTTCATGCAGGCCCCTCCCCTTCCCTCCTCCCTCAATCCTCATAAGCCCTAGAGCTCCTTCCCCGATACTGACAGACACACTGACAGTTCAGAAGTCCTTCTACCCAACCTGTCCTCCCCTGCAGCTGCAAGACCACCTCCCCGACTCTTATCAGCCTGCGACCCAATTCGCCCCAATACCATCCCCCTCCCAGCCAATCCAAACCACATCATCAGTTTCTTCCCAAGAACCAGGCAGCTTTAAAGCTTTTCCCAATAAGTACACAACTGACAACTCGCCACCAGATTCTCCAAGTAATCCTTTCCTCCTCCTTCCCCTCCTACCCCACGCACTGGCTCTCCTGTCGCTACCACTCACTTGCCCTGGCTTCCCCGAAAATTCACAGCCTCGTTCGGTAAACACGCTCTCCGCTTTCCCCATTCCCTTTCCACCGCTGACAGCTCAGTCACCTCCATCCCCATGTGGCTGCACCCTCCCCCACTCCTTTCCCTTGACAGCTCAGGGTCGGCTCCCAGCCTTCCCCCCGCCCCAGGCCTCCCCAGACCTGACTTGGGCCCCCGCGGGGCCCCCCGCCCCGCAGGAGGGCTCCACTCACCCACTCTCCCGCATCACGTTGCTGTCCCCGCAGTCACAGGCACCCCCAGCCTGGCTGCGGAACATATTGAAGTCGTGTCCGGTGTGGTCGCCCTGGTGGAAGCACTCCGCGCACAGCGACATGCAGGGGGAGATGCCGCACGTCCGGCAGCGGTAGGCCACGAAGTTGGCTGTCCAGACCAGGCCGCAGAGCGCCGCGGGGTCGTAGGCCCGCACCGCCGCGCAGAACTCGTCGTAGCCTCCGCCGCCCGCCAGAAGGCACTTACACCACTCCAGGGCCTCCTCCTCGGCCGCCCCCGGACCGCCCCCGCCGCCGGCTACCGCCGCCTCCTCGCCGTCCGCAGCCGCGGTCAGCGGCCGCTCGGCGCTCAGCACCCGCTCCAGCAGCGCCTGTAGCTCCTCAGCACCTGCCCTGTTGTCCGGCCGGCTGAGGGCCGCCTTCAGGTGCGCCGCAGTGGCCGCCTTGTCCAGGGCCAGCCCAGGCGCGGGCAGCTCGGGTTGGGGCGGCTGCGGCCCCCCGACGGCCGCCGCGGCCGCCGCCGCCGCCATGATGAGAGCTCAGAATTTGGAGAGCCCAGAGCCGGCGGCTCCTCCCGGGAGGGTGGGGGAATTGACTGCTGCGATTGCTCGGCCCGCCCAACTCTCGCGATACCCCGGAGCCGCCGCGCACCTCCGTCTGCTTCCCCGCCCCTGCACACGCCCCCTCGAGCTTCAGGGCTGCTCCCCGCCCCTCTCGCGTGGGTCCCCCCTCCTCTTGGCTCTCAAAGCTGAGAGCTACTGAGACAAGGGACCCGCCTTTAAATATATATATATGGACAACTTTATAGGGACCATATGAAAAATCTTTAAATATGGACATTTTTTTCTTTATTTACCTGGACTATAGGAATTATACACAGCATCTTTCAGAGGTATTTTAAGCATTTGCATTTCGTTTTGAGATGTAGATTCCCATTGTTATTAACCCTTAATTACTATTGAATCACTATTACTATTGAAGCAAACTCCTAACTTTCCCCCAAATCAATTCTTACCCTCACATTATTATCAGGTTAATCTAAAGTACATTTTGTAGATGATTAAAGTACACTACATTCTTACTATCATTCTCCTGTTCAAAATCTTCAGTGGAAAAAAAAAGCTCCTTAAATATTCTCTCAAAAACCCACCTATCTTTTTTCATTTTTTTAAGATTTTATTTATTTATTTCAGAGAGAGAGGGAGAGAGAGAAGCAGGCTCCCACAGGGCAGGGATCCCGACTAGGGCTCTGTCCCAGGACCCTGAGATCATGACCTGAGCTAAATGTAGACACTTACCTGATTGAGCCACCCAAGTGCCCCCAAAAGCCACCTATCTTTCTATCCTTATCTCCTGACACTACTCCAAGTTTGCCATATGAAAGAGACCAATGGGACTGTTCACTGTTTTATGAGGCTTTATCATTTCCTGCCTCTGGGTCTTTATTGTTCCTAGTTCCCACACTACGCCATCCCACTCCATCACCCTACAACCTAATCTAGCACAGTCTATCTATGTAATTTCTTTTCTTCAAAAGGATGGCTCTTAACTTACTTGATGACACAACTTTGTTTTAAACTTTACACCAGACATGGGCTCGAACTCTGCACCCCAACATCAAGAGTCGCGTGCTCTACCAACTGAGCCAGCCAGGCACCCCTTAATGATATAACTTATTGCCTTTACTGTAAAATCTCATCTTCACCTCACTACTAATTGGTAAATTTCCTAAGGGCAAAGAATGAGTCTTCTTCATCATTGGACATAAATGTTCAAATATTTGTCTGATTATTGTTAAATAGAACATACTTAATATAGATAATGTTTGTTGCATATTTTTTATGGGCCCTGCTCTTTATATATGTTATTTCATTTAATCCTCTCAATAATTTTATGAAGTAAGTACTGTTAATAGAGGAAACTAAAACTTAAGGAGGTGATTTATGTGCCCCAAAACACACAGCTGGCAATTAAGTGAAATGTGACTAGAACCCGGATCCATCTGATTCCAAAGCCCTGCTCTTAACTACCACACCAGTATTTTCCAAACCTGCCTGATCTCTAAGAATCACCTGAAGCTCCACTCACAAAAACAGATTCCCAGGAACCATCTCAGACCTAAGGAATCAAAATCTCCAGAAGTTATACTATCCTATCTAACAAAATCTGAATCTTGAGGGAGATTATCATTAATGATCCTTCCAGAACTAAAAATCTACAGCTTATTAAAATTTCCACAGCTTACTTCCAGACAGCTGGCTCTGTTATACAATATAACTTAGTAACACAAGGTAGAGGACAACCAAGAATGAAAAAAAACTGTAGAAGAAATAATCCAAGGAAGTAGAATAAGAGTATTTCCAATCCATAACCCTGTGTTATAAATGAATTGAACACAAAACGTATTATTTCACATATCCTGACCCTCTACATTAATAAAGCATCTTATAATAATCATTAAGTAGTGATAATTAATTTAAAAGTTGCTCAATAATTCTCTTTATGAATCACCAAATTATAAACCAAGTAAATTCCAGGAACATTTCAAACTAAGGTAGAACTAGTGTGTGTTCACTAGTCAATGCCTAAGGTAGAACTAGTGTGTGTTCACTAGTCAGTTGGGGAATTTCTGCAAACGTCCACAAAATCCCACCAGTGCCTCTTTTTTGCTGTACAAAAACAACAAAATTTAAATACTAAACTTGAATCAAATCACTAAGTTGGACACCTGAAACTAATGTAACATTGTGTATCAACTATAGTCAAACTAAAAAAAAAAAAAAAAAAATGAGGGGTTCCTGGCTGTCTCAGTTGATACAGCATACAACTTGATCTCAGGGTCCTGAGTTCAAGACCCACATTGGGCATGGAGCCTGGAGCCCACTTAAAACAAAATTAAATTAAATTAAAAATTAAACATAAATTTATCATAGAGCTCTGCAGTTCCACTCCCAAGAATCTACCCAAGAGAATCTACACCATATATCCACACAAAGACTTAGAGGTAAATATTCATACCAGTATTATTCATAATAGTCCCCCAAAACTGTAAATGATCCAAAGGTCTATGAATTTGTAAATGGATAAACAAAATGTGGCATGTTCATAAAATTGTATACTATTTAACAATAAAAAGGAATGAAGTATTGATACGTGCTACAACATGAATAAACTAAAAATGTTTTGTCAAAGAAGGAAGTCAGAATCAAAAGATGAATATTATATCACTCCATTTACATGAACTGTCCAGAAAAGACAAATCTTTAGAGACAGAAAGTAGAGACGGAAAATGGTTGTCTGGAGCTGGGGGTAAGAACAGGAAGTAACTGGGGACGCCTGGGTGGCTCAGTCGGTTAAGCGTCTGCCTTCGGCTCAGGTCATGATCCCAGGGTCCTGGGATCGAGTCCTGCATCAGGCTCCCTGCTCTGCGGGGAGCCTGCTTCTCCCTCTGCCTCTGTCTCTCTCTCTGTCTCTCATGAATAAATAAATAAAATCTTTAAAAAAAAAAAAAGAACAGGAAGTAACTGCAAATGGGGATAAGCGATCTTTTTAGGATGATAGAAACGTTCTAAAGTTGGTTGGGATGATGGTTGCACAACTATGTAATTTGCTAAAAATCACTGAATTCAACTCTAAAAACAGGTGGATTTTATGGTATGAAACTATACCTCAATAAAACAGTTTAAAATAATAATAGTAATCAGTAGTATTAGTTATTGTTTGAGATGAATGAAAAAAATCAAGTTTCTGTCTGAGTACAAACTATTTTACTGCTTTAGCTTTTAAAATGAATATGACAAGCTCTCAAATCTTTGCTTCTCCTAGAATGTTTGGGGCTTCTATCATTTGGATTCAGGAAGTCTGACATTTTTCTCTTTCAGTGTGTGAGTGTAAGGTAAAAACTCTTCTTCTAAATTACCTCTCAAATCACTGTGCTGTGTCATGGGGAATTCCTATGAGGATCATATTTCCATGAGGGAAAGCCAGATTGAAATGCAGCTGAAAACTCTGTACTCCTTAAATGCTATACCTCATTAAATGTTACTGTTACTCTACTGAGGACATTGAATAAATAATGCAACATACTGCTGTTACAGAAAGCTACAAAATAATACCTAAAAAACTGCATTTTTATGTATTCCATCTTAATTAATATGAAGAAGAATCCTGTGATACTTCTTTTTTTTTTTTTAAAGATTTTTATTTTATTTATTCATGAGAGACAGAGAGAAACAGAGGGAGAAGCAGGCTCCCAAGGAGCGGGAAGCCCGACGCGGGACTCGATCCCAGGACCCTGGGATCATGACCTGAGCCGAAGGCAGACGCTTAACCATCTGAGCCACCCAGGCGCCCGAATCCTGTGATACTTCTAAATTGCCTTTTCAAATTAAAATAAACCACACAGGTAAGGTAAAAAGCTATAAATGATAAATAACACAATTGCTTCCAAAATTAGAGACCCTTAACAGAGAACTAACAAAGTAATGGAAATACTCCAAAGTTGCTTTTGTATTTATCAGGACTTTCTGGATGAAAGTTATTGACTAGCGTAAGCCAAAAAGAGGACAATATTAGATCATATAAACAGTGGAGGAAAGAGGGAGATCAACCTGTATGCCTCCTCACCTTTACTTTCAGGATGGACTCCATTGTCTCCAACAGCTTCTGTGCATGAGCCTCCCCAACCCCAGCTGTAGGCCTTATCTCCACAGCTTCACAACAAAGAAAACGGATCTCTTCTCTGCCAGATCCACTTACACCCTGAGGAAGAACTCTGACTGACCCAGCTGGTGGCTAATGCCACCCTTGTTACCAGAAGAAAGAGGAAGAGATACCTGCTGGAAATAAACACATACAAGATGCCTACCACAGGGTGCCTGGGTGGCTCAGTCGTTAAGCGTCTGCCTTCAGCTCAGGTCATGATCTCAGGGTCCTGGGATCGAGCCCCACATCAGACTCCCTGCTCGGCGGGAAGCCTGCTTCTCCCTCCCCGGCTCCCCCTGCTTGTGTTCCCTCTCTCGCTGTGTCTCTCTCTGTCAAATAAATAAATAAAATCTTTAAAAAAAACAAATGAATAAACAAATCATGGTATATTCATACAGTAAAACACTACTTAGCAATAAAAAGATACATCAAAGATGAATCTGAAAATCTTTATGGTAAGTGAAAGAAGGCAAACACAAAAAAATTGCATATGCATGATTCTGTTTATATGAAGTTTTTAAATAGGCGAAACTAAGCTATGATGATCAAAATTAGAATAGTGGTTGCCTGTGGGATGGCAGCAATTGACCCATAAGGAGCAGAAGGGAAATTATTAGGATGAATAGTGGAAATCATTAGGATCAGTTACTTGAAGTGGTGTTCATATAGTATATATGTTATTCATTTTCATCAAACTGTACAGTTAAGATTTGTGCATTTTATGTAAACTAAATCCTCATTTAAAATCTGAAACAAACTAAATATCCATCAACATTAGAATAAATAAATTATAGTATATTCATATAATGGACTACTATACAACAATGAAAACAAGCAAACATGATGAATCTTACGTCATGTTGAATGAAAGAAATT